CTGGCTAGGCCCTCATCCCTTAAACTTTTTGTTTTTAGGTTTGGGCCCGGGGGGGGGGATGGGGACCCGGGGGTGGATTTTGTGTTTAAGGTTTTTAACCCCCTGTTGATGGGGGGGGAGGACCTGAAGGTATTACCCTTTTTTTTTTTTAAAATGGTTATTTATAAGGTGGTTTTGGTTTTGGTATTAAAAGGAAAAACTCTAAATTTTTTTTTTTGAAATTGAGGTTAAATAATTTTTTTTTTTTTAAAAAAAAAAATTTTTTTAAAATAATTTTTATTTTTTTTTTTAAAATTTTTTTTTTGTTTAAAAATTTTTTTTTGTTTGAAAATTTTTTTCCCTTTTAAATTTGGTGGTTTTTCCTTAAAAAAAAATTCCATTTTTTTGAAAAAAGTTTTTTAAAGGACCGGTTTTTTTTTTTTTTTTTTTTTTTTTTTTTTTAATTTATAATTGTTTATTTAGATTATAGAACAATTATAGTAAGAAAAAAAAAAAGCTATATATATAATATATAATACATAAATATACACAATTAATATATATACAAAAAGAAATTAAAAAATAAAAAAAAATAAAATAAAATAAAATAAAATAAAAAAATTAAAAAATAAAAAAATTAAAAAATAAAAAAATAAAAAAATTAAAAAAATTTTTTTAATTTATTATAAAATATTGAAAAAAACCAATAATAATTGTGATAGTAAATTTTATTTATAAATAAAATTGCTATTTTATTTATATAAATAATTTAAAACATACCAAAGTAAAATAAATAAATAAAAAAATTATTTGAGAAAAAAAAAAAATTAAATAAAATAAAAATAATTTTTTTTTTTTTTCTTTTTTTTTTTTAATAAAATTAATTTACAAATCTAAGTTTAGGTTTTTTTAAGTGCACTTAATAAAAAACAATAGTTTAAAAGAAAAAAACAATACTCTATATACCTGGTATAATTATTATTAAATCATACAATAAAAAGATATAAATAGCTATTAATTGCACATTTATTTACTTTTAATAATTGAATAAATATTGAATTAATATTTTTTTTATTTTTTTTATTTTTTTTTTTTTTGGTGTGTTTTTATGTGTTTGTGTGTTTGTGTGTTGAATAATTTATTTATATGTTAAATGTAGGTTTAAGTTTGTTATGTTTTTGGGTGAATAATTAATTGAAAATTAATATTTATTACACTTTTTTATTTATTTTTTTTAATATTAATTTATTTTTATAAGATTTTCATGTTTAATTGTTTACTTCATTTTTATTTTATTTGTTTTAAACAATTTATCGTATTGTTTTGTGAAATAAATGATATTTTTAAATTTTATTTGCAGGTTTAAGTAATGATAAAAGATCTTTTTATTCAAATAGATAAAATATATAACCAAATTTAATTATGTTTATACTAACCAAAGATCATAACAATACTAGTATTGTTATTATTTATTTATTTATTTATTTATTTATTTATTTTAATAAAATTAAATTAAAACTCAGAAATTCAACAAAACATTTTCATTTATGTTCATATTTATTTGCAGGATGGAGAAAAAGTCGAAATACTCTTCAAAATTATAATTTAAATTTTGATTGCAAAAATGATTTATCAAATTTTCGAAAAAAAGTTACAATGAGTGTTCAAAAAATCCATTCTTTGAATTTTATTTTATAAAATTATTTAATTTTAAATTTATTAATTTAAATAAACTAAAAATTTAAAAAAAAAAAAAAAAAAAAATTCAAAAAAATAAAATTTTTATTAATTTTTTTTTATAAAATTTTTTATAATTTTTTTTTTTAATTTTATTATTTTTTTTTTTTTTATATTTTTTAAATTTTTTTAATATTTATTTTGTTTATAAATTAAACCCCCGCTTGGATTTTAACACAAAGAAATATACATATAAAATTATAAAAAACAAAACCAAAACTAAAACTAAAACCAAAAAAAAAAAAGAAAGAAAAAAAAAGAGATATTATTAATCATATATAATTGCATAAATCCAACATAGTTTTTTTTTTTTTTTTAAATAATATAAATCAATTATTTTGTTGTAATCTATATACACTACACTATAAACAATGTCAATGTTAACTTCACTCCAACAAGCTGTACACAAAGCATATGTTAAAACTGTTGAAAAAGTTACACCAACTTTATCAACATCAAAATTCCTTGAAGAAGGTGTTTTAACCCCAGAAGAGGTATTTATAAAATCTATATTGATAATGATATAAATATAAATCAATCGATACTAACTAACGTAAAATAAAATAGTTTGTTCAAGCAGGTGATTTATTAACTGATAAATGTCAAACTTGGACTTGGGAATCAGGTGACCCATCAAGAAATGTATCATATTTACCAAAAGAAAAACAATTTTTATTAACAAGAAATGGTAAATTTTAATATATTCAAAATTATAGATATTTTAGTTTTATTATTAATCAAAATTTCTTTATTAAAATAAAATTTTAGTACCATGTTATAGCAGAGTTAAAACCTTGGAAAATGAATCAAATGCTTCAAAAGCTGAAGAAATTAATATAGAAGAAGATGAAGAAGGTGGTTGGATTGCACCACAATCAACAGTTCAAGATATTAATGATGATGATGATGAACCAGATATTTCTTCATTAAAAATTGAAGATAAACAAACCACAACTGCCACCAAACCAGCAGTAACTAATAATGATGATGATGAAGATGACGATGGTGAAATTCCAGATATGGATGATTTCCAAGATGACAATATTGTAGAAGAGGAAGATCCAGTAAGTTTTAAATTTTAAATCAAGTAAAAAGTGTTTAATATTAATGTTTTAATTGTTTTTTTTATTTTTTAGGCCGTTCTTTCAAAAAATACAACCACCACAACAACAACAAATAAAGAATCAAAAGAAGAAGATAATATTCTAAGAACCCGTACTTATGATATTAGTATTACTTATGACAAATATTATCAAACTCCACGTGTTTGGTTATTTGGATATGATGAAAATAGAAAACCATTAAAACCAGAAGAAATTTTCGAAGATATTTCAGAAGATCATGCACATAAAACTGTCACTATTGACTCACATCCACATTTGGGTATTTCATTTGCCTATATTCATCCATGCAGACACGCCTCTGTTATGAAAAAACTTATTGACAAACAATCAGAAAATGGAAAAGAACCAAGAGTTGACCAATATTTATTCCTTTTCTTAAAATTTATTTCTGTTGTTATTCCAACCATCGAATATGACTTTACTTTAGAATTCGATACCTAATCATCAATAATAGGTAGAAAAATAATTAGAATTAATAATACCAATAATATAAAAAAACAAAAATAAAAATAAAATAAATAAAATATTTATAACAAACAAAAAACATAGTTTCTTAAACAATTAAAAAAAAAAAAAAAAAGAAATGGATAAATTATTTTTAGGTTAAAAGAATAAATAAAAAATTAACTTTGGAAAAAAAAGTAAACATATGGTTTTTATTATTTATATTTCTAATTATAATTTATAATTATTTTATTTATTTTTATATTTATTTATATTAAATACCAAAAGTATAACCTTCACTATTTAAAAGATTTCTGTCTAGCTGCCAACCAAGTTCTTCCAATCTTTTAAAGAAAGATGAGTTGATTGAAACGGTAGGAGGAATATTATTGCTTGATATATGAGCATATTCAATAGAGTAGAAATATGATTCAATCATATCTCTAGTAGTTGAGGAATTTAAGAGAGCTATTAAAAGAGTAAAATCCTTTTCATTGATCTTGTTATCCTTTTGGGAACATTTCTTCCAAATGATAAATGATTTTGATTTTTTGATTTTCTTTATAATTTCATAACTGCTACTGTAGCTATTGTTATCTAAATTTAAGTTATTTAAATTGCTTATATTATCTGTACTATTATTATCTCTATTATTAACCTGTATATTTAAATTATTTTGTATTGATTTTGTTTTATTTTTTAAAAATTTGTTATAACTATTTAATTGATTTTTAATTTTATTACTATAGTAATATTCATTATTGTTATTATTTATATTATTATTATTGTTATTATTATTATTCATATTACTATTTGTATTATTATTTTTATTTGTATTATTTTTATTCGTATTATTAGATTTATTATTATTATTATTCATATTATTATTATTATTATTCATATTACTATTATTATTATTATTATTATTATTATTATTTACAATATCTTGTTTTTGTTGTTCTTTATATATATTACATAATGAAACTCCTAATCTAATTTTAAAATCTTTAGAATTAAATAAAATGTTTTCAAAATTTGAAATTTCTTTTGGACTTGGAATTGAACCTTGATTTCTAATATAATATTCATAAATTAAATGTGCCCTATATTTATTGATTGAGTTTAGTTGAACTGCAGATACTGCTTTATAGTTGCAATACAAATGAAAACCAGTAAAAATAAAAAATATGAACCATGTAACTAGAATTGATGTATCGTCATTTAAAACACTGCTAACAAAAACACTTAGGATCATACCCAATAAACTGACAGCAGTTTCTTGCGAACCATCTTTTGCAGATACATCGGCCAAATTGTCATTCTTTGCGAAATGTTGAGTTAAAGACGCTTTAGTACAACCACCTGCGACACCACAAATACTTTTTGCAAACAAACCAATACATGATAATGGAAGAAAAAGTGCTTCGTTAAATAATGGACTTATCATTTCGAATGTCATACCAATATCATTTAGAATATCAGCCATGAATCTCCACTTTTTTGAATTGCAATCTAAATCAGTTCCATTTGCCCATGCAAAAATAATTCTACCAATCATACCAGTGGCACTTTGAATTACCCATTGGGTTGTTGCTGATGCCACTGTTGCACTACTATTACCAACACCATAACCTTTTAAAATTGCTCTTGTTGCCAGTGTACCAGTTATACTACTGCATAACGCTTGAATCGAGTCCCAAAATTGATATCGAAAATAATCACTTGTAACTGAATCTGGGTATCCTGATGGTAAAAATAAGTCATACAATATATTTTGTAATGAACTTTTGGTCCTTTTAGTCTCCAATAGTATTAATCTGTCATCATAATCATCATATGGGTTTACTACTTGAAATTTATTTATAACTGAATTGGACTGATTCTTTTCGATAATGTAATTATAATTGTTGGTTTTTTGTTGATAGTATTGCATAGTTTTAATTATAATTATTATAAATTTAATTTTCTTTTTTGTGGCAAAAAAAAAATTTTATTTATAAAAAAAATAATATTTTAAAATAAAAAAATAAAATATATTTTAAAAAAAGAAACAAAACAAGTAAAACAAAATAAATATATATACTTTTTATAAATATAGATCTATTTACAATAAAAAGATAAAAAATAAAAATGGAAAAATTATTTAATTTATTATAAAAAAAAAATTTTAAAAAAATGTGAAAATTTTTTTTTTTTTTTTTTTTTTTTTAAAAAAAAAAGTTATTGTGTTTTTTTTTTAATTATTATTATTTAATCATTTTTTTCGTTAAATATATAAAAAATCTAAATTTTTTTTTTGTAAAAATAAATATCTTTTTTATTTTATTTTTTTTTTTATCATAAAAAATATGGAAAATATATTGTTAAAATATATTGGCAAAGAAATTTTAGAGAAGCCATGGAACCCACCAAAGAAATATAAAGATAGATCAGCAGAGGAATATGCAAATGATTTAATAGAGTTTATTAATAAGTATTCATTTCTTTATCAACTAAGATCCCTAGATTTTTTTTATGATGGTGATCGAATTTGGAATGAATTAATACCAGACGAATGGAAGGAACCACTCTTGTCTATGAGTGATCAAGAATGCTCCGAATTTCACCATGGCAATATATGTTTATCATCATTTCCCCAATCATTAAAAGATTTTATAGAAACTGCAGTATCTCTATGGATGCCAAAAAACCAACCTGCCAGTGATGATGACAATAATCAAGTCTGGAACTTAAATCAAAACGATTTCAAATTAAGTTCATTATTTCTGGGAATGTCTGAAAAGAAAGTTCATGAAATATTGCGTATGTCAGAATTTGTAAATGTAATTGCAGACCATCTAAAGCCAAATGAAATTGTTGATATTGGTGCTGGCGAAGCATATTTAACCCAGGTATTGGGTCATCAATTTAACCATAGTACCACAGCAATTGACTGCTCTCAATCATTTATAGAAGGTGCCTTAAAACGTCAAAGTCTAATTGAAATTGAAAGAGTATCAAAAGAATTAAATAATAATTTAAACTTAAAACAACAAATATCATCGAGTAATAATATTAATAGTAATAGTAATAATAATAATGATTCATTAAAATCAACAACATTAAAAGAGGATGAAAAAAAAGAAATAATCGAGAAAATAAAAAAAGATAAAATTGAACAAACCAAAAAGCTGGTCAACGAATTAGAATTTAAATCACCAAATATGTGTGTTGCTACAATTTCAAGTGATATGAAGGAAAATGATTTTTTAGATATATTGGAACAACACAACGAAAAAAAGAACTATCAATCAATAATGCTAATTGGTTTACATACATGTGGGATATTACCGCCAACTATGATCAAAAACTATTTACAATGTAATAATATTGACTCTATAATAGATGTGGGATGTTGTTATTATAAAGTTGACAGCAACCACGAATTTATTTCAGATTTTTGCAAAAATAAAAATTTAATTTTAGGACCAGCTCCATTAAAGGTAATTTGGTATATTTTAAATTTTTTTTTCAATAATAATAAAGAAATAATACTAACTTTAACTTTAATTGTATTTAGTTATCTTGTGAAGCAAGTGATCAAAGTCAAAAAGATTTAGAAAGTTATCAATATAGCAATAGAAATCATTTTTATAGAGTAATTTTAGAAACATGGTTAAGAAAAGAAATATTTAATGGTGGTCACCATGAATTCACTATAAGAAATCTATCAAAGAATCATTGTAAATCATTTGACACCTATTCAAGTGCAGCACTATCGAGAATGAAAAGACAACAACAACAAAAAGATCAAAAAATTCACCCAGATATTAAATTACCAGATACCAATGAACCAATTGTAGAGTTTTATAAAAAATATTGCACTGAAAAAAAGGAAGAGAAGCAAGTTTCAATATTTTTATTACTACGTACTCTTTTAGCACCAGTTTTGGAATCAATAATAATTTTAGATCGTTTCTTATATTTAGATCAATTTAATTCAATATCAGATTCTTATTTAATACCAATATTCAATAAATTACTATCACCCCGTAATATAGTAATTTTATCATTTAAAAAAAATAAAATAAAAATATAAATAATTTATTTTAATTAATAATAATAATAAATAAAATTAAATTTAATAAATATTATGACAATCTGAATAATAATAATTAATTTATATGACATCACTATTTTAAACAAAAATAAAAAATAAAAAATTTAAAAAAATTGATGATTAATCAATTTTTATTTTCTTTCAATAGATATAAATTTTATAAATTTTTAAAATTTTTAAAATTTTTTTATTCGAATAATTAAAGATATTTATATTAAAAATTTTTAATTCGTAATTTTGTTTTTAATCATTTATTATAATAACAATAAAAATAAATAAATAAATAAAAAAAATAAAAAAAAACGAAGAATTTTTTTTTTTTTTTGAATTTTTTTTGAATTTTTTTTATATTTTTTTTTTTTAAAAAAAAAGATATTTTCATAATACTTTTTACAAACTTGTTATTATTTTCTTTTTATTTTTTTCATTTAAATTTTACATCACCTTAGCATATAAATCATTACATTATATATATAAAATATATATTTAATAGTAAAACTTATAAATAATCAGCTATTTATATATATTAAAATTGTATCACTAACAGAATAATTATTATTTAAAAAAAAAAAAAAAAAAATTAGATAATAATTATTCTAATATTATTTATATAGTATTATATAAATAAAAGAATAGTATTTGTGAAATGATTCTATCAATTACACTTCAATTAGACCCAATAAATGGATCAAATAATGGACTAAGTAGCAGTATAGATAATAGATCATCAATCAATGTGTCAGCATTACAAAATGCAAGGTGGTTCAAAAGACATATAACTTGGATCAAAATTCGTCATATAAAACTGTATTTTTAGCAATCTGCCAATTATTTGGTATCAACGAATCAACAAGCAAAGATTACTGTCTTCAATTGGAATCATCAAAGAGATACTTGAATTGGCCACAAGAAACTGATGAATCAAAAACCAAACATATTGTAAAACAACTTTATGAATGTGGTGAAACTGCATTGGTACTTCAATTATCACCAACTTATCGTTCTTCTAAATGGGTAAAAGCATTAAATGAAAATTTAACAAACGAAAAAGATTTAATGTTTCATTTAAAATTTAAATTACAGGTAAATATTTATTTTTATAATTAACAAATAATCAATAAATAAATAATCGTATGATATTAATTTTTTTATTTAGGAAACTGAATTTGCAGAATCATTTATTGAACAAAATGGTATGGAAAGTATTTTAAAAATGGTTACCAATGGTAAAGGAAATACACAAACTTATGCATTGGCCTCATTAAGAGCATGTTTGGAATATGTAAGTGCAATGGAGATTATTACAAAAACCCCACATTTGGTAAAGCAATTGTTTAATTTAGTCGATTCAAGTGTTGTTGGTGTCTGTAGAGGTGCATTAGAATTATTATTTGTATTATGTGATTTTAGAAAAGAAGAGGGTTTCAAGTCAGTTCATTTAGCAGCAAAATCATCAGCTATCGCCCAAGAAAAGAAACCATATCAAAATGTTATTAAGTTATTGGATTCCGGTGATTTGGAAACCAAAGTAAACTCTTTCACTCTTTTAAATGTACTTTTAAATAATTGCCCATCAAACGAAAAGGTAGAAAAGCTTGTAAAGAAATGGGGTGATTTGGGTCTTCACGATAAACTAAGAGAACTTGTTTCAATTCAGCAACAAGAGTTTCAAATTCAATTAGAAATGTATGAATCTACAAGCGGTGTCTATTTACGTACTAAAGCTGGTCGTCTCGAAGCAATTTGCAATAGATTAAAAGCAAAATTAAATGAATACGAATCACAACAGCCATTAATATCAATTCTCAAAGAGGAATTAAAATTGGCTCAACAATTAATAAAGGAAGCTTCTACAGATCGTGTCTTTTTAAGCTCTCACCCAATGCAAAGATACTTGGGTCCAACTGTTCAAACTTATCCTGTAGATTTATCATTCTTAAAAACAACAACCATTGAACGTGAAAAAATTTCCGAGTTTGAAAAAAAGATTTCTGCTATTGGTGAACAATTACGTCAAGAATTAAAATTATCAGAAGAGCTCAAAAACCAAATTTTAGCAAATAAAAAACAATTTGATTCTACAGTTGCTGAGCTCAAAGAAGAAAATCAAAGATTAACCCAAGTTGAAGTTAAATTTAAATTAACTCAATCTCAATCTCCAGCACCACCACAACCAACCAATAATAATACTGGTAACAATAACTCTACATTAAGCGATGAAGAAATTTCAAATATTCAAAAATCATTAAATGAAACAATGCTAGAAGTTGAAAGATTAAAATTAGCCATTGAAGAAAAAATGCCACCAAGTGAAGCTCAAACTATCTTCTCTCAATCTTTAATCTCAGCAAAATTAACACCATCAAGTGAAATAAATAAACCAATAAGTCCTGATTTAACAGCTACAGATAATAATACAGATATAGATACAAGTAGTAGTGGAGCTCCACCACCACCTCCTCCTCCACCTCCACCACCACCAGGCGGAGCTCCAGGAGCTCCTCCACCACCCCCACCTCCACCACCACCAGGAGGTAAAAAAGGTGCACCAGCAGGTCCATCTGCCATACAACCAAATAAACCAGTAATCAATCCAGCAAATAAAATGAAACCACTTTATTGGAAACGTATTATTTTAGCACCAACCAACAGAAATGAATCCATTTGGGACCAAGTTTTAGAACCAACATTTGATTCAAAAGATTTTGAAAATTTCTTTTGTGCCAAAAAGAAAGCATCACCAACCAATGAAAATAAAGAGGAGTCAAGTGTAGGTGCCAACGAAAAAGCTAAATTGGTTAGTTTAATCGATATTAAAAAATCAAATTCAATTGCATTTATGTTAGCAAAGGTCCCACCACCAGAAGGATTAAAGAAAGCTATTGATTCAATGGATGGAAATATTTTAAATAAAGAGGTTATTAAAACTCTTATTAATAATGTACCATGCGAAGCCGATTATCAATTAATTAAAGACTCTGGTATCCCCGAAGCAAAATTAGATCGTCCAGAAAAATGGATTCTCGAAATGTATGGTTTCCCAATGTTTAAAGAGCGTTTAGTATGTTGGTTATTCCAATTAGAGTATCAAGATATATATAGTAACATTAACCAGGTTCAAGAAAAATTAGATTGTGCAATTAAAGATACCAAATCAAGCGATTCATTAAAAAAGATTTTAGGTATTGTACTTGTATTAGGTAATTACATGAACGGTGGTACAGGTCGTGGTCAAGCCGATGGTTTCAATTTAGATATTTTAGATTCATTATCAACCAACAAAGATATTGAAAATAAAACATCACTTTTGGATTATATAGCTAAACTTTCAATGGATAAATACCCAAAGACTAAAAATGTTGCTGAAGAGCTCGATTCACTTAGATTGGTTCAATTGTCAGTATCTGATATGGCCACCGACATCAATGATCTTAAAGGTCAATTTAACATCTCTAAAAACAACTTTAAAAAAATTCAAGATGCTATTCAAGGTTCAAATAAATTTGTTAGTTCCTTTAGCAGCTTTATAGAAAAATGTGAACAAGATATTAAATCAATAGAAGATCTACAAAAGAAAATTGTAGACTCTTTCCATCAATTGGTAGAGTTTTTCGGTTATCCTAAAACATTTGCAACAACTGCATCATGTCCTCAATTTTTTGGTTCAATATACACCTTTTCTCAATTATTCTCAAAACAATGTCAAAAAATCGAAAAAGAAAGAGAAGCAAGTGTCTCTAAAAATTCAAATGAAAGTAGTAAGAAAATTGCTGGTGGTGCTGATCCATTAGCCGCTTTAGCAAATGCAATTAAATTGGGTCAAACTGGTCTAAGAAAGAGACCACCCGGTGATTCTCAATTAAATTTAAATAATAAATAAAAAAATAAAAAAATATTTATAAAAATAATAAATCAATAAATATAAATAAGCACCAATAAATAAATAATTACTATTTTTTAAAATAATATATTTTATAAATATATATTATTTTAAAAAATTATATTTATTTTTTTAATATAAAAATTTATTATTATCTTTATTTTTTTTTTTTTAATAATTTATTACAATGAATGTAAATTATGCATTATTGCATTATTGCATCATATGGTAAAAAGTATTTTCTTGTTATATACTACAATTTTTATTATTTGAAAATAAACTTTCAAATTAAAGAATATTATTATCTTAATATTTATTTTTTTATTTTAGTAACGGGGAATTCTTTTTTTTTTTTTCATCCTTGTATTATATTAATATTGGTGTGGCGGTATTTTTTTTTAAAATTTTTTTTTATATAAATCAATCTCAATAAATCTAAATTAATATTGGAGTGGTTAAATTTAATTTATTGTTATAATACATCAAATTAAAATAACCATTGCATATAATATTATTTCACATAAATATTAATATTAAAAAATAGAGAAACAATAAAATATTAAAAAACAACACACTCTACCACACTCAAAATAATTTTCTTTTAGTTTACTTTTTACTACTATAACATATAATAACAACAAAGGAAATCATAAAAAAAAATTGTATAATATATACAATATGTATCTTTATTTAATAACCCCCACACTTAGATTTCAAATTTAGATAATACCCACATACTCTGTGCTTAAATTAAAATCTATTATTGCAATATCAAGTCAAAAGTTTAATTCACTTTTTCTTTCTTATTTAATAAATATTATTTTTTTATTTTTTTTTTTTTTATTTAATAAATATTATTTTTCTTTTTTTTTTTTTTTTTTTTTTTTTTCTAAATATATTTTTTAATTTCCTAATTTTAAAATAACTCTAAAATATTTATTTATATAATGTTACTTAGTAAGTATAATACTGCATAAATATTTTATTAATATATACTAATTTTTTTTTATTCCTATAGATTCAATTATTTCAATTAATTACAAACAACAAATCAATTCCGATTTGAAAGAAAATAAAAGTTCAATTTTAAACTATGATAGTAATTTAATTTCAAATTCAAAGGGCGCTGTTGTTGGGGCATTCTTTACACGTCCATTTTATATCTAAACACATTCTTTTTTTTTTTTTTCTACAGCTAAAATATAAAATAAAAACTATATTTAAATATATCTATTAAATTTTTTTTTTTTTTTTTTTTTTTGGATAACTAAAATATTTTTATTTATTGTGATAAGTAATATATTTATAATCTTATAAGAAATATAAATATTGGGATAACTCTGGGGCTACATTTCTATTGACAGTACGACCAATTAAGAATGCTAAACGATGAGCATATTGACATGGAGCTGGTACTCTAACGGATTTTTCGAAATTGTAATAGAGATGGCACATTTGGAATGTGAAGAAATGGAAACAATCTGATGGGATTCCATATTCATCACAAAGGACATGGTAATGGGTTGGATTAACTGAGCCCTTGAATGCAACTTGTGAGACAAGATAAAAGTCATACCAGTTTGGCTTGGTAATTTGACTATCAATGAGGGTACCTGGCTCTGGATTACCTTTTCTGGCATCATTGGTAAAGAAACGAGCATTTGTGTTCTTCTTGACTACGGTAAACATAAGTTTTGGTTTGGCACCCCATGATGATGGAGTTTCGCTGAAAGCCTTGTGCATTTCAGAAATTTCAAACTTGTTGACCAAATCTAACATGCCATCACCGACACCATCACGATAAACAATGACTAATTCTGGTAAAGTATTATTTAATCTGAAGTAGGCAGCTAAAGCTTCCTTGGTGGCATTACAAAGAGTTTCTATAATCTCTTTGCCTGGTCTTTCTTGCAAGTAGCAACGTGAGTGATATTTGGTGAAAGAATCATCAAGAGTTGATACAAAACCAACAACAGAACGACCACGAATATCAGAGTTGTGACCTACATCAATACCAACAATCATAGTTTTTTTTGGAACACCTTTAAATACGTTATTGATAGTCCATGGAGCAATACCAAGTTTGGCGAAAACTTGGTTTTTTAATTTAAGAGCAACTGGACGACCTTTTTCAAAGGTTCTTAAAAAGATACATTGTGTTAAAACTTTGTATTCTGTAAAGCTTTTAACTTTGATACCTTTGTATACTTCAGGGTTATTTTGAGGAATGATAATTAAAAAGAATCTATAACCTTGCTCGACATATTTCTCCATGATATCGGTATAAAGATTTGAACGAACATCACGGAAATTACGTGGCATATCTGGGTGGACAACGGTTGGATTTGGGAAGCCGCTGAGTTGGATAAAGGTATGTAAATTTTGGCCATTACGTTCGAAATCTCTTTTATCGATGATGAAACACCACTTCAAACCCTTGACTGAAGTATTGTTTGGAATAGATTTTGGTGGATCTAAAATTACACCGTTGACAGTGAGAGATGGTTGGTAAGCAACGCTCCAATCCTTTATTTGTTTTTCATTCTTTGGATTGGTATTGAGAGATTTAACAAAACTGTCAAGGATTGAATGTCTCATTGGTGGATCCATGTTTGACTCTTCTGCAATATCCTTCATAATATGGAAATCTATAATATAATAGAAAAATTATTAATAAACTGCAACAAAAAATAATAATAATAGATATAAAAAATATTTACCTTTTCTCATTTCGTCAGAGATACCAGTTAAATGGGCAAGTTCTGGGACCAAATAGATTTGTTGTTTTTGGCCTCTCATCTTGACTTCTGACTTGAGTAATGGTTGGTTAAAATCGGTAATAACAGACTTTGGATAATTTTTTTGGTAATATTGAAGGAATGTGGTGTTACCTTCCATTTTATCGGTGACTTTAGCATTCCAATCAATACCTGAGATTCTGTAGGTTTTGTTATTGTAGAGAGTAACGACGATAGAAGAGGTTAATTCAGCTTCACATTGGGATTTTCTGTAGTTCATTCCCTTGATGGTTTCTAAGGCAGTCTTCTTTCTAACGACTTTTGATGAAGTGTCGACTCTTAACATTACACCAGCTTCAGTGTGAGAGATAGCTGAGGAATAACCTATTTTTTAAAAGAATTTATAAATTAATTTTAATAAATAATAATAATAATAAAATAAAATGTATTTTATATAATAAAATATATTATATAAAAAATAAAAATGAAAAAAAAATAAAAATATTTACCTTTCCAGATTTCTAATTGATATTTTTCAATAGTTTTTTTATTTAATGGGGTATAATAATTTCTTCCCATTAAAGAAAAATTCATTTGTCTAAAAAGCTATAAAATAAAAAAATTAATATCTTTACCATTTTTAAAAAAATAAAATTTTTGTGGGTTATAATTACAATTTTAGTAAAAATATTGAAGAATTGAGTGGCAACCTTGCTAGTATGGTCAAATTCAGATGTGTATTTAATTAAAATATTAACACCATTGACAATGAACGAGTTGGATTTGATGATATTCGAGGTATATAATAAAGAAGCACCATCGTATCTGCAAACAAGATCGCTGAAGCCTGGACACTCTCTGACGAGTTTGGTTCTAGAATCTCTTGAGATTTGTTCTGGTTCGAAATCTAAACGATAAAGGAAGATTTTAGATGAACCTTTAAAGATGATTGGGAAAAAATTGGTTATTATAGAGGTTTGTCTACTTTGGATTGTTTTTTTAGCAACTGGAACTGAAGCAACATTTTCAATGTCATCATCCTTTACTAATTCTCTTCTTGAAATTGAGCCTTGAGCAGGTGGTTGGGTTGAGATTGTTGTCATTGGTGTTGGTTGTTGTTGTTGTAGTGGTTGCTGTTGTTGTTGTGGAACTGGTGTAACTTGCATTGGAACTGGCTCGTTAACTTGTTCAACTGGTCTTGGGCCACTACCACGGCCTCTACCACGACCACCACGACCGCCACTTCCCATTGGTGGGAAATCTTGATGTTGTGGTGATTGTTGTTGTTGTTGTTGTTGTGGTGAGTATTGTTGTTGTTGTTGTTGTTGATGTTGTGGTGAATATTGTTGTTGTTCATTATTGCCACCACTACCAGCACCACGACCTCTTCCTCTACCACCACCTTGATATTCACCATCACCTCTGCCACCAGCACCAGCACCACCACGACCTCTTCCTCTTTCACCGGCATAACCACCGCCACGGCCACCACCACGACCACCTCTTTCTGAATCTTGTTTTGGACCCATTTAATAATATTAATAATTTATTTAGTTTATTTACTTAAATATATATATATTTTTTTTTTTGTTTTTATAATATTTATTTTTTTTTTTTTTTTTTTTTTTTTGTATTATCTTTAAAAAAATTTTATGTGCTAAAAAAAAATTATTTATATGTAAAAAACTTGAATAAAAAAAATTACAAAGTTAATAAAATAATTAAAATTTTAAAAAAAATTTTAAAAAAAATTAAAAAAAAATTAAAAAAAATTAATAACAAAAAAAATTAAAAAAAAATAAAATTTTTTATTATCTTAAAAACACATTTATGGCAATAAACACACCTAATTTTTTAAGGGGGGTGGGGGGGAGGAAAATACTACAAATTTAGATTGGTATTATAAAAATCAATCATATTGAACTTATGTTTTGAATTTAAAAAAATTTATAGTTTATTTTTTTATTAGTTTGAAAATTTATTATTTGAGTTTTTCTATAATTTTTAAAGATTCATCAATGTGGGAAGTTGCTTTAAACATATTTGTATAAGTATGGGCAATTTTTTGATCTTTATCGATAATAAAGGTTGTACGACCTGGTAAAATTAATAATTCCTTTTCGACACCATATAATTTAGCAAGTTCTCCTTTATTATCCGATAAAATTGGAAATGGTAAACGATATTTATCTTGGAATTTTGATTGTGAATCTTGACTATCTGAACTGACACCAATAACCTATTTTAAAAAAAAAGAGAAAAAAAATAGAAAAAAAAAAAAAAAAAAAAAAAAAAAAAAAAAAAAAAAAAAAATCAATAATAATTTTAGTTAAAAGGTTATATACCATATTTGGTTAATTATAGTTAATAGTTATTTTTATACTTACAACTGCACCAGCTTCGCTGAATGCTTCATATTTATCTCTAAATTCACAAGCTTGTTTAGTGCCTATACAATTATTATTATTATTATTTGTATTAATTTGATGGAGTTAAAAAAATATATATAAAATGTTTAAATTTAAATTTTTCTATACTTACATCCTGGTGTAAATGATTTTGGATAAAAATACAATACTAAAATTTTACCTGCATAGTTTTCGAGAGAATGTAAATTACCTTTACCATCTGGGATATCTTTGAATGATGGTGCGGTGTCTCCAACTTTTAGTTTTGTCATAGTTTTATTAGTATTATTATTATTACTAGAAACAAAGAAATATATGGATATTAATATTGCAATAATTAAAAATAAAAATGCACCAAAATTTTGACTTATTAAAGAATAAATATTATTACTGTTATTATTTTCCATTATATATAATTATTTTTTTTTTGAAAAAAAATAAAATTAAAAAATATAAAAAATAAAAAAAATAAAATTTAAAAAAATAAAAAAAAAAATGAAAATAAATAATAGATAGATATTATTATTTACATTTGGTTAATTTATATTCGTACATTTTTATTATTATGTTATATAATTTTTTTACGATATCATAAGTATTATCTATTAAGAGATAGAAATAGAAACAAATTTTAATCTTACACCTCATTAAAACCTCCACCCCCCATTTTTTAATTTTTTTTTAATTATTTTTAGTTTATATATAATTTAATATTAATAATTAGATTTAAACATCAAAAGATAACCCATTTTTTATTTTAAAGAGGTTTAAGTTATAAATATTCGGTTATAATTTTAAAAAAATATACCAATAAGCATTTTTTTATAGATTATAGATTGTTCAGTAAGTGTTTTAATAAAATCAAAATGTGGTCCTCCAAAATTTGAAAATAATGTTAAAGAGAAACAAGTTGCAGTTATTATAAAAGATCAAAAGAATTTTAGAAATACTTGCGAATGTGGAATATGTATACAAAATAAATAGTAAAGAATGTAAGAGCAATCAGGTAAAAACTCTTTAAATATTTTATCTAAATAAAATATAAATAATATTAAAAACAAAAGTTAAAATTTTTTATTTATGTAAATATAAAAACAATTATATTTATTTTATAATTAGTTTTAAAGAAATTATTTTAAGACATTATTGTTATGAATTGATAAAAAATGGGATCTAATGAATCTAAAAACAAATGATTCTTTTTTGATACTCTTATCATTTTCAAACTATAAAAATTAAATATTTTAATCATATTATTGTTATTATTGTTGCTATTATTACTATTGTTGCTATTATTATTACTTTCATAAGTAATTTTTGCTTTTAAAATTGTTTTGAAACCAGTTATTGTTAAATTTTCTAAATTTTGAAAGTTTTTTAATTCTATTACTTCATAATAATTACTTAATATTAAAGTTTTTATTTTATTGTTTGGTGGTAAAAGGTTTGATAAATTAGTAATTGTGGTAACGCTAATGTCAAGATACTCTAAATTTATATAGTTTTGTAAGGTGATTAGGTTTTTTTGATCTAAAAGCTTGAGTACTATTAATGAGTGGGGATTTGAAATAAATTGGTTAAAATAGTTTGAACAATGAACAATGGTATATGGATTATTGATTTTGATGGAGTGTGCATAGTTGTTATTTCTAATTGCTAATAATTCTAAATTAAAAGGAATCGAGCCTTCAGTTATAATGCGGGAGAATTTAAAACCAAGAATCAGTTCCCTTAAATTAATGCATTTGGATAGTGAACTACCTATTGGTTGGTTAAACGATGGGCCTAAGTTTAAGTATGTCAGAGAGCTTGGGAAAAGATTTTGTTCTAGTGGTAAACCGCCATTATTAAAAATAGTTGTAGGTCTGGAATAGTCAAACTCTAAATAGGTTAGATTACTTGAAAATAGATTTGAAGTTATTACTTGATCAAAACCAGGGCCGATAATAAGACTTTGCAGTGTGTTGGGTAGTAATACAGTACCATCTGCTTCAAGAATGGTTTTGCAATCACTTTTTAATACAAGTGATTTTAAATATCTTGGTATTATTTTGCTATTTAATTCCTTTTTGGTTTCGATTTCAAGGTACTCCAAATTGGGTGGAAATACTCCTTCTTTTAAAGTATTTGATGATAAAACCAATTTCTTTAAAGAGATCGGCAGTTTTTCAATGATGACATTATCTAAATTTGTTTTTAAAAAGGTTAAAGACTCGGGAAAGTAAGGGCTATCGTTGACCAAATCAGTTCCGTTTAAAGTTAAGCTAGATAAACCGTCAGGTATATATCCCTTTTTAGTGGGTAAAGTTTCGAAATATTGATTTGATAATTCTGTTAAGGTGTTTGGAATTGAATATTCATCGAATGATATTTTTGGTGAGTCTAGATGCAATATTTTTAAATGGTTTGGTAAAACTTGTTTTGAAACTCTGTGGTTGTAATATCTTAAAGTTAAGCTGGTAATTGAAATTGGTAAGGTGTTTGTTGGAATTTCTGGTAAAAATAAATTGTATCCATCCAAGTAAAGAGTATGAATATTAATTGAATTTTTAAAAATAAAATAATTTAGTGTTGGTGTGATGGATACTTGTTTAGGTGTTGTATATGAATAAAAGAAATATAACGATTCGATATTATCTGGTAATACACCGAAATTTTCTTCTCCACTGCTGGAAATTCTAATATTACAAAGATATTCTTTATATTTAAATTCTATAATTGATTTTACTGAATTAAATCTTCTTTGATAATAAAAAATATTATATATCTTTAAATACCTTATTATTATTCCTTTAATATATTTATTTTTCCATATTAATTTAAATAGTTTTGATGGTTTGTTTTCTAAATTATTATTATTATCATTATCATTATAATCACTACTGGTTAACGAAACAAGGTTTGAACTATTATTGGCACTATTCATTATAAAATAAAAAAAACTTAATATTTTATTTAAATATATTTTATATTAATAATAATAATATAAAAAATAAATAAATATATATTTTAAAATAATTTTTACTTTTAATTTACATAAATGAGTTTTCGTTTAAATAAAATAAAAAAAATTAAAATTTTAAATTTTTTTTTTTTTTTTTTTTTTTTTGTTTTTTGATTTTTTTCAATAATTTTTTTTTTTTTTTTCATTTTTATAATTATTGTTAACTTTTAATATAATATTATAATATTATATCTATCTATATATCAGTATTAAAATATTGATTTTAAAAAATGATTTTAAAATCATTTAATAAAAATAATAAAAAATATTATAATAGTATAAATAAATATTATTCAACCAATAATAATAATAATTTTAAAAATGATATAACCACTAAAGAAATTAGAGAAAAGTTTTTAAATTATTTCGAAACAAATAAACATAAAAGATTACCAAGTTCTAGTTTAATTCCACATAATGACAGTACTCTATTATTTACAAATGCCGGTATGGTACAGTTTAAGAATCAATTCACAGGTTTGGAAGAATCAAAATATAAATTAGTTACAACATCACAAAAATGTGTTAGAGCAGGTGGCAAACATAATGATTTGGAAAATGTTGGATATACAGCAAGACATCATACATTTTTTGAAATGTTGGGTAATTTTTCATTTGGTGGTTATAACCATTTTAAAAGAGATTCAATTCAACATGCTTGGAACCTTTTAACTAAAGATTTCGGTTTACCAAAAGAAAGATTAGCCATTTCCGTATTGGAAGGTGATGAAGAATCTGCATCTATCTGGAGAGATCAAATTGGGCTTTCAAATGATAAAATTATGTATCTAGGTAAAAAAGATAATTTTTGGTCTATGGGGGATGGACCTGGACCATGTGGACCATGCTCCGAAATATTTTGGGACCATGGAGAAGGAAAAGAGGTTGATGGCGAAAGATTTTTAGAAATTTGGAATCTGGTATTCATGCAGTACAATAGAAATGAAAAAGGTGAATTAGAAAAATTAGCAATGCCTTGTGTCGATACTGGTATGGGTCTAGAGAGAATGGCAACAGTGCTTCAAGGAAAAACCACAAACTATGATATAGATCTATTTCAAAATTTAATCAATTCATTCAAAGAGCAAGTTATGATCGACCCAACTAAAGCCTCACATATTATAAAGCAAGATCCACAAAGAGTTGAAGTAGCCTACAGAGTTATTATTGACCATTTACGTTCAATTTCATTTTTAATTTCAGATGGTGTTATTCCATTTAATATTGGCAGAGGCTATGTTCTTCGTAAAATCATTAGACGTGCACTCTCTTACGGAAAACTCTTGGGTTTTGAGGGTCCATTCCTTTATCAATTATTCAGTATTTTAGAACATGAGATGGCCGATACTTTTCCACAGCTCAGAGAACGTTCAAATGAAATTAAAAATGTACTTTTAAATGAAGAAACTACATTCTACAAAGCAATCAAAAGAGGTATACCATATTTAGAGGAAATGATCGACAGAGGACAATTAAATGAAGATAATTTATTTTTACTTTATAATACATATGGTTTACCATTAGAAATTTCAGAAGTTAAAGCAAAGCAAAACAACATCGAAATCGACATGGAAAAGGTTGCAAATTTAGTAGATGAAACCAGAAATCAATCAAGAGCCACATGGAAATCAAATGAATCTCAACCAAATACCAACAATCCATTGGATGAAGTCAAGAAATGGAAAAATGATAATATCTCCCCCAAATTCATTGGTTATGAAACCACTTTAAATGACGAATCATTAATCACAAAGAGTTTTTTTGATAACGATAACCATTTAGTTTATTTATCATTCGATAAATCTCCTTTCTATGGTAAATCAGGTGGTCAAATCGGCGATACAGGTATTATTAAATCAAAGAATTCAAATCAAATATATAATGTCATCGATACAATTAAACCATACGATAACTCTTTGGTTTTGGTTGTAAAATGGGACCCAACCAAACAACTTATTACAAACGTTCAAGATGATTTAGCTGAGGGCTCAATAGTTTCTTCCCAAGTCGAAAAAAGCGTTAGAAAACAAACTGCAATCCATCACAGTGCAACCCATCTTCTTCATGCTGCCTTGAGAGAAATCATTGGTAAATCAGTAGTTCAGGCTGGCTCATTTGTTGGTCCAAATATTTTACGTTTTGATTTTACTCATGGTAAAAAACTCAGTGTTAAAGAAATAGATCAAATCGAAAAATGGGTAAATGATGTAATCGATCAAGATATTTATTTAGAAACACACGAAATGCCATATAGCGAGGCTTCTAAAGGCGATGCTATTCAACTATTTAGTGAAAAATATACAGATTTGGTTCGTGTTGTTTCGATCCCAGGTTTTTCAAAAGAACTTTGTGGTGGTACTCATGTTGAACGTTCTTCTGATATACACCATTTCAAGATTATTAGTGAATCAAGTGTTGCTGCTGGTACTCGTAGAATTGAAGCTATTGCTGGAAAAGTTGCCACTGAATGGTTTAAATCTCACTATAAAATGGTTCAATCTATATCTGATAATATAAATGTACCATTAACAAATTTCCAACCATCTATTGAACGTTTGGTATCTTCAAATAAACAAAAAGAAAAAGAAATTGAAGAGCTCAATTTAAAGATTGCCCTTTTGTCTGCCTCCTCACACAGTGGTCATATTTGCGGTGTTGAATGCGGCAGTGGTATTGATCACCCTCTTTCAATCCATGTTGTTGATTGTGACGATAGTAAAATTTTAAATGTTATTGCAGGTAGTTTTTCAAAATCAAATCCAAATCACATAAATATAACTGTATCAAAAAAAGGTAAAGCAATATGTAATTTAGGTGCTAATCAAGAACCAAATAGTCTTAAAACTACTGCAGATACTATAGTTAAAAAACTTTTATCATCATTAAATTGTGGCGGAAAAGGAGGTGGAAGTAAAATTTTAGCCAATGCAACTATTCCATTATTTAATGAAAATATCTTAAGCTCCATATTAAAATGGGGAAATTGTAACAAGAAATTAAACAATTAGAAAATAAAAATAAATTGTTCATTTTTTTTTTATAATAATAAAAGTTTTTATTTTTTTTAAGATTGATCAAATAAATCTTAAAAAACTTTTTAAAAGGATATATTTATTATTTTTATTTTAATAAAATGTAATCTAGATGATAATCAGCTTTTTTATTTTTTAAGATTGTTTTTTATTTTTTTTTTTTTTTTATTTTTTTTTTTTTAAATTTTTTTTTAAAAATTTATTTAAAAATCAAACTATTAATTTATAAAATGGATGAATAATTCAATAAATTTAAAAAAAAAAATCATTATTTAAATAAATAAATAAATAAATAAATAGATAAATAAATAGATAAATAAATAAAAATATTTTAAAGATTGATTATCGTGATTTTTTTAGGGTTAGATTTCAATACCAAACTTTTTTTTTTTTTTTTTTTTTTTCACAAATTCAGCCACCACAACTTTTTTTTTTATAAATTTTTGAGAAATAAAATTAACAGATGTTTATTTTTAATAGAATATAAATTTCCTGCAAGATGTGGGTTGCAACGACCCAATAAACATTTTTTTCTTCCATTTCTATAGGAAACTAATTTTGGAGAAACTATTATATTTCTTGAACTCTTTTGATAGGGAAGCAGAAAAAAGTTGACTATTACAAATAATCTTTGAGGAATCAAGGTAATTGTGGCAATTATTATACAACCATTTACTCTTGGTGTTATTATAAACTTCTTTTCAAATTGATTTTTTTTTGGCTTTTGTGTTTGATTCTCTTTTTAGTTCATTTTCTTTTTGTTTTAATATTGGTTCGGGAATGTTGATGAGGACAAAAAATGTTTTATTCTTTTTACACTGCAGTGCTATTGCTGTACATTGTCTTTTTTGACAATATTTAATTTCATATTTAGTTTTACGTTTATTTTGATCGATAAACTGCTGGAAAACATCACCAGTTCTCTTGGAGACTACTGATATAAAATAATAGTTGTTTTTTGATAATGTTTTCATATTTTGTACTACCTAACAATCCAACATCAATGATCATACAAGTGAATCATCTATTTTTGATTAGGGTATGCAATTTAGTTTATTTTTTGAAAAAAAGGGGTTTCTAAGTTCGGGGTCAATTAGTTCCATTTTTAAAGTCAATTTCTAAGTTTTAGTTTTTTTTTTTATTTTTCTAATTATAAAGAAATCTAAAAATACTTGCAACTCCTATTAAATAGTAACTTTAAAAGAAATAAAAAAAGAAATGAAGAATGGCATTATTGCATTCCGAATGAAGAATAAAGTTAGTTACAATTGTGGTCAAGATCACAACATCAATCAATGTGCTAACGAAACCTCCGTTGCTTTAGTCCCATGCACTAAAAGTAATTTCAAAAAACCCAAAACAGCTTGACAATGTGTAGAAGAAAGTTTAGATCATAGAAATGATACAATAAAATATTAGAAAGAAAATAGTATTGAATATCCAACATTATATTCAATTGTAAGAATGTACTTTCAGTTGCTTTGAAATTGAAAGAACATTTTCGGGTGCTAAGTTGTTGGTTACAGATCAAATTTGGGTTGGGAAAGAATAGAACAATGTGTGTTATTAAGGGAATGGGCAAACATTTCAAGAGTAGATATTGTCGAAAACTCTGTCATTTATAATTATTCAAATATTTCAAAAATGGTATGATTAAATAAAATTGCACAAGAATTTTAAATTTTTTTCATACAAAAAAATAATGTAATTCAAAGTTTTTTTTTTTTTTTTTTAAGTTTCTAAGTTTTTAAAATGAAAAAATTGGTCAAGTGGGTGGGTGTGGGAGTGGGGGAAACTCAGAAATTTTTTTTTTTTTTGTCAAACTTAAACTAATTTTATTCCCAAATTTTCTTATATGAGAGGTGCAGGTTCAATACTGATTGTTTATTGTAATACAAATAGATGAACATAATTTATGGTACCTAAACGATAAGTATGGTCTTAAACTTGGCAAATATTTCTTTGATGTTTAATCTATTAATGTTTTACAAGATAACTGTCCAAAAATGGTTAGGGAAATTTTCAAAAATTTAAAAAAAACAATGGAATCTCTTGTCATATGGATCCCAAAATACTCTTCAGACCTCAACAATATTGAATAATAAGATCAGTTATTAAAATATGTATTATTTACAAAAATCAAAGAAATCCTGGAGAAGATTTTAAAGAAATAGTTGATGTGGAATTGAAAGAGAATGTATTGATAATTTATATCAATCAATTCCAAAAAGAATTGAAAAAATAATGGAAAATAGAGGTGTTTTCACAAAATATTTGAAGTTTTTAACCAAAATACCAAAAATAAAAAATATTTTTTTAAAACACTAAAAAATGAATTATCTTTTCAAAAATATTTAACCTATCATAAAAAAAAAAAAATTTTAAAAAAAATTAAAAAAAAATAAATACAATTTTTTTATTTAATAAATCTTAAAAACGTTTATCTTTTTTATATTTATGAACCAATTTTATAATATAAAAATAAAACATATAAAGATATATTGAAAAAAAAAAAATTTTGAGACCCAGCCAAAAGCTTATGCAAAATAATGTAGATGTTTATTTTTTTCAAAAAAAAAAGATAAAACATTATTATCTCAGGTAAAGTATATTTTAAAGGATACAAAGAATTACTATTGTAGAAATTAGGAAAGAGCAAAAGTACCAACCCTTGGATTTAACGAAAAGATCACAAATATCCTTTTTGACATGTGATTGGAAATTTATAAATCATTACTAATTAAGGAATATGTAGATTTGGATCCAAGATGTCGTGATTTAATATTATTAGTTAAGCATTGAGGCACACACAAAAAAATTTCAAAGATCCCTCTCGGGGTACCTTCTCTTCATTCTGTTTAGTTTTAATGGTCATTAATTTCTTACAAAATGGTGTATCTCCTCCAATCTTACCAAATCTTGAATCCCCAAATAAATCAATTCTCGAACATACCTCAAAACTCAAAACAAATTTTATTATTGAAGATTATCTTGTTCATTATTATGATCATACAACTCTCAAATTTAAATCATCAGATAATAAAATATCAATAGATCAATTGTTTTATAAATTCTTTGAATATTATTTAGGATTTGATTTCAAAAATTTATCTATCAACATTTCTAAAGGTATTAAACAAAGAGTCGAAAAAAAGAAATTATCGAAGTTCAAGATTTATTTGAACCCAAATTCTTATCTCTTGGTATTAAATTTAAAAAATTCAAAAGATTTTATTTGAATTTGCTTAAAAGAATTCAATTTAAGAGTTGGTTTAAAAAAATTAGAAAATATATTGAATTCAAAATTATCTTTATATAAAGATATAGAAAATTCAAAAGAAGAATAGCAAGAGCATACTTCATTAACACCAAAATACCAAATATCAATAGTTCAGAATAAAATTTAAATATTAATTTAAAGCATCTTCTTGAAAAATCTTCACTTATAAAAAAAAAAGAATAAATAAATTAATAAATAAACAATAGAAATATAGATAATAAAATTATATGATTTTTAAGTTTATGGGTTTAAAATAAAAAAAACCATTTTTAATTTATTTTAAAAGTTTGTGTAATTTTGGAATAAAAAAAAAAAATTTGAACTTTTTTGAAAATACTTAAAAAAATATATAAAACAAAATAAAAAAAGGGAAAAAAGAAGGAAAATAAAAAAAAAAAAATTGAAATATAAAAAATTTTAAATCAAAAATTTTTTTTTTTTTATTAAATTTAATTTTTACAAATTAAAAAAAACCAATTGTTATAATTTATATATATTATTTTTTAATTTTTATATTCATTTTCAAACTTTAAAATTAGAATCAAAAGATGTACTACTTCTTTCAACAACCAAGTGTTCATTTTACTATTGAATTTGCACCACCACAGAGATACAATAACTTTTGGTACAACGATTTAGGTTCCCAAATCCAACAAAATCAATTTTATCAAATGCCACATCACTTTAATTCTTTTAATTCATATGACAGGTATTATTCTATTTTTTTCTCTTTTATTTTTTTTCTTTTAGAAATAGTCTAATCTCAGCTTAAAAGTAAATTTAGATAAAATATTATTTACTAACATGTAATTTATTTATTTATTATTCTATATATAGGACACAAATTGGTTTAGGAAACCAAAGGGACGATGAGATAAAATATCACAAACATCATATTTTCCCTCAACAATTCGAAGAATGGTTTTCTCAAAAAGGTATAAAAATACACAAATTTTGTATTTTAGTAACTAGATACGAACATCAAAATCTTATACATGGAAGAGGTGGATGGAATCCAAAATGGGGGATATTTATAAGTAATAACCCAAATGCCACTAATGGTCAAATAGTTCTTTTTAGCCAACAACTGTTGAAGGAATATGGATTAGAAAACCGTCCATTTATAGATTATTTTAAAAAATAAATAATTCTAATAATCAAATAAATATACAACTATTTGTTTGTGAAAACTAAAACTTAAAACTGAAAACTAAAAAATAAAATTTTATTTTTTTATTTTTATTTTTTTCGTGTGAAATTTTTTTTTTTAATTTTTTTGCTTTTTTTTTTAATAAAATTTTTAATAAAATTTTTATTAAAATTTTTATTATAATTTTTAATGTTTTTTTTTTTTTTTTTCACAAAATTTTATGTTTTTAATGTTTTTTTTACTAAAAATTTTAATAAAAAATTTTTTTTTTTTTTTTTTTTTTTAGATTTTGTTAATAATTATTATAATTATAGAAACACAAACCTAAATTCTTCATTAAAAAATGTTTATTTTTGAAAAATAACAAATTTTTACTATTTTGATGTCCAAGCATGGTAATTCCGAAAGTTAGTAGCTTCTTTTTAGGCTAGAAACTAACGAATTGGCGTTAGTAACCAGTAATAATAATAATAATAGATGATGGTACATCTGAAGATCAAGGCGATGGTACAGCTGAAGATGGGGACGCTAAAGGTAATTTTATTAGCGAACAACGAGGAAATAAAAGTGGAATTGGAAATTATTTATGTTTGACTCTAACTCTGATAAAACTAAAATCAAATTTTAAATGTGTAATTGCATGGATATTTTTTTTAAACAAATAAATACTATTCATATCTTACCATTAGAAGAAAGGTTAGCACGTGGTCACTGGTTTGATAAAAACGAATTCAGAATTTCAAACCGTTTTACTGTATTTATAGATGGTAATCTTGCTTCAACAAGCAGCGCACCTACAAAACAATATAGGACCAATATGCATAGTGGCAAAGAAAAATAGAATGTATATCAATAATTGGTATTGTCGATGGATTAGGAAAGTTTCAATATCTTTTTCATTCTTTCCAAGGATCTATACCTGATCAGATATCATTAAATTTTCTTAGTTTAGTAGAGGTTGTTGGGTTGCTTACAGATGAAGAATTTTTGGTTGCTGATGCAGCATTTCCTAAAATTAGGCAATACTGTGAAAATGTTATATTTCCAAAATCCAAGTGTGAATTAAACTAAAGTATTTCAAGATATCGTTCCTTAATAGAAAGAGCTTGGTGTCAATTAGAAAAATGGAAAATACTTGAAAAGTATAGACTAATGTGGACCGAGGACCAATCGGTTGTAGAAGTCTGCGAAAAACATAACCAAATTATGTTTATAATTGCATCTATTTATAATATTTTCAATAAACCTCTTGGTGAACCATCATCATTACCTTCGGTCTATAGTGGGATTTATTGAAGGAAACCAAATCTCAACTACCATAGAGAAATATTCAATCATTCCGATCAACTCATCGATTTATACCTCGAAAATAAAATTTCCCAATAAAATAGTTTTTTTTTTACCAAAATTTTTAATAAAAAAAACACTAAAAAATTAAAAAATATTGAAATAAAACAGTTTTTTTTATTTTTTTAGTGTTTTATTTAATTTTTTTTTTAATAAAATTTTTACTGTTTTTTTTAATAAAATTTTTAAAAAAAAAAAATTTCACACGAAATTATCTGCCCAACCCCCAATTTTAAAAAATAAATTATTTTTTTTTTTTTTTTTTTAAAGTGAAGATAATTAAAAGCAAATGAAATTTTTTTTTTTTTTTTTTCCCGATTCTTAATGATGTATTAAGTCATCAGTTGATATATAATTATAACTGTAATACAGTGCCCGGATTATATATGTAGACCCCCCAACTTTTATTAAATCATTTATAAAATAAGATTTACCAATAATAGTTTTTATATGAAGAACCTTACCCCCAATAATTATTAATTTTTAGAAATAAATGGTTAGGAGTGGGTGTGGGTAAAATAAAAAAATAAAAAAAAAAAAATTTCTATATTTTTTACCACATTTTTATTTTTAAAATTTTTATATTTTTTATCATTAATTTAATAATTAAGTGTTAGTATAAGTTTAAAAATTATATATAGTAAATAAACAAAATGATGTTAAGTGATAAAGTTCGATACTCAATATTATCATATAAAAACAGAGGTCACAAGTCGAACTCAAAAATTGCAAAAAAATTGGAGTGCATAAATCAACAGCAGCAAAAACATTAGAAAAGGTAGAACAAACAGGCACAATCAATGACTGTAAAAGTCATGGGAGAAAAGAAAGTTTGACGAACGTGATGAACGTGATTTATGTTTCAATTTTTAAAATAGAAAATTTACTATATAAAATAAAGTATAATTTGGTATGAACAAAATGGATTTGGAACAATATCATACAAGTCTGTAAGAATTATATTAAAGAGATATAACATAATATATAATAAGAAAGTTAAGAATCCCTCATTGATTAGACATAATAGAAGAAAAAGATTTTTTTTAAGTTGTGCATATAAATTTAATAGTGGAATAATGAGAAAATTATATGTTTATGGATGAAGTAAAGTTCCAATATTATAATAATAACCATGGTAGGTCTTCTTGGGCTTATGACACTAATATTTTACTAGAATCACGTATCAAGACAAATGTTAGAAAAGGTGTGGTTAATGAAATATTTTTGGGAAATTTTCTTTATTATGTTCCAATTTATTTATAAATTTATCAAATGGATTTTGAACTAAGCTATATCTTGAAATTATAAAAAACGATACACAACTAAATTTAGAATAATATGCAGATATAAATAAAGTGAGAGGGTGCCAATCATTTATCATGACAACTGTAGTTCGCATACAGCAAAGAGTGAAACAATATTTAGAAGAAAATAATACACAAGTTTATCCATTACCACCCTACAGTCTAGATATTAATATAATTGAAAATATTTGGTCAATTGTTAAAGAAAGGGTATCAAAAAAAATGTTTCGTGACCCATCACAAGACCTAGTTCAGGTATGTCAAGATGCATTTCATTGAGATTGTTTATTTCCAAATACCATTCTGCTAAAGAAAGAGGTTTGCCGTCCTTATTTTTAATGGATTTCAAACCGTCTAGTAGTCCTTTTTTAACTTTTATTAGTATCCAATCATTGTAGTTTTTAAGTAGGTAATCTGAAGTTATTGTTTTGATTGATATTTGATGTTTCCAACTGTATTGATATTCTGATTCTATTTTATTAGTTTCAATTTTATTTATTATTTGATTTATCATCCATAGTCTTTGTGCTTTTTGTCTGTTTTTGATATTCCAAAGATTCCAACCTCCTTGATCCATAGGATAATTTTCTCTTTTAGAGCTCATTAATCTGAAGACTTTAAAACCATTTGGACTTTTATTGTTAGGTGCTGATAGGAACCAATCTGCAATTTTATTGATTTCTTTAATTTCATCATCGTTGAATTCTTCAATATAAGAGTAATATGTTATTCTTGATATTGCAAAGGATTTAAGGATGTTTACTTTTGTTTTAATTGAGTTACTTGTTGTTTTCCATAATGATAAGGAGGATCTTATAGAATTCAGTATTTCTGGTAGTTTTCTATGGATTCCGGTACCTGTGAAGTAGTAACCTAAATATCTTTCTGGTTTATTTGATATTGGAATAACTGAATTTGTTGCGTCTGGGTTGTTGATTGTTATTGAAACTGATTTATCTATATTTAGTTTTGATGATGTTGCTGTGCAAAATTGATTGAAGTGTTGAAGTACCAAATTAAGTTGGCCGTTGTTATGAACCATTGATGATGAATCATCTGCAAAACCTTGAAATTTGATTCTTCTGTTTGTGCAGTCTAAAGGAAGTCAAATTATTGATTTATCTTCTAGTATTGATCTAGTTAAAGCTTCGATTACCATTACATAAAGAGTCGGTGATAAAGGATCTCCTCGTTTTACTCCTCGTCCTATTATGAATTTATCAGTATTTTTACCATTTATTTCTATTTTTGCAAAGGAACTGGTGATTAGTTGCATAATAAGATTAATTAGCTTGGTTGGTACATGAATGTGTAATAATGTTCTGTATATGGCATCGTGAGATATAGAGTCAAAAGCCTTCTCAAAATCATAAAAAGTAATGATTCCTGGTAGTTTGTTTTTGATACAATATTTGATAATTTCATTTACTGTCATTGTATTATCTGTAATTTTTCTGCCTCCAGTAAAACCTTTCTGATTGGGGTTAATTATATCAGGAAGAATAGTCTGTAATCTATTGTTGATTACCTTAGATTGTATCTTGTATAAACAATTAGCAAGAGTTATAGGCCTTCTATTTTTGATGAGCATAGGGTCACCTTTTTTTGGGATTGTTATGATTAAACCTTCTTTATATTGTAGATCAATTATGTGTGGGTTGTTTAGGGTGTCATTGAAAGCCGAGGCTAACATTGGTGCTAGTTTTTCTTTATGTGTGATATAAAATTTATTGGTTATTCCATCCTTTTTTTTTTTTTTAAAAGTGAAGATAATTAAAGCAAATGCTTTAAATTAATCAGTAAAATTCCATCCGGACCAGGTGATTTGTTTGGATTTAGTTGGTTTATTGCTAGAATTATTTCTTCTTTTGTAAAGTCAGAATCCAAAATGTCCCATTTAGAATCTTCAAAAGTGAAGATAATTATTTTTTTTTTTTTTTTTTTTTTAAAAAGATGATTCTTAATGATGTATTAAGTCAGTTTATTATGTTTTTTGCTTGGTATGTGTTTAATGCTTATATGAGTTTTACCACACTGCATACAAGTTGGGCACAGAAACGTCAATTCGTGTGTGATTCGGAAAACTTGCTGAGACGACCACTTGGCTATCATTGCTCCCCCAAATGCTTTAAATTAATCAGTGTAATGTATTCATATGCATTTTAGAATTAAATGAATATTACAGTTATAATTATATCTCAACTAAATAATATATTTTTCCTTTATTTTAAATAATTTATTATTTAAAATTAAAAATTAAAAATAAAATTGTGAAAACTAAAACCGAAAACTAAAAAATAAAATTTTATTTTTTAAATTTTTCAATTTTTTTTATTTTTAACAAATAATTGTATATTTATTTGATTATTAGAATTATTTATATTTATTATTTATCTATAACTAAAGTAGCTCCATCTACATTACAATTTATCTATAACTAAATTAGCTCCATCTTTTTTTTTTTTTTTTTTTTTTTTTTTTTTTTTAAAAAGTGAATGCTTTAAATTAATCAGTAAAATTTTATTTAATGTTTTTTTTATAAAGTTTTTAAAGAAAATATTCTAAACTGTTGATATTTGGTAAAGATTTGATGCTGATGAAGTATGCTCTTGCTATTCTTCTTTTAAATTTTCTATATTCTTCATTAATGTTGCTAATTGTTTGTGGTTGTTTAGCGTGTCTTTCCTTGATGTTTTTTAAACCTTTTAAGTATTCTAAAGTAGCTAGCTTAGTCCATTTTGAGGTTAGATTCTTATAATCGAGTTCTTTTATTGTATTTTCTTGATCGTCATATAATTCTTTACATAACCAAATCCAAACTTGATGAAATACCAGGGCTATGGCATTTCTATAAGCGAAACATCTAGTTAAGTCGAAATCTATTGCTTTATAGTTCCATTGGAAGTGTGATTTGTGGAATCTGGTGTTGTTGTAATCCATATTTATTTCTCCATCGGATTTGCGACCTTCTGGGATTTTGTATGTAATATTTTTTATTGATATATTCCTTCTTGATCTTGTTATGTCCAGTGACCAATTGAGGCCCCTTCCCGAAGTAATGAATATAAATGATTTTAGTTTATTGAAGTTGATGAATTTCAGAGTTTTTTTACATTTGAAAAATAGATGACCATATGGATCATTATTAAGATTTTCATTACATAGTCTACATGGTTTGTTGTGAATGAAGTTGATGGGTAAGCATCTTGCTTGGAATTTGAATAGAGTGTTTCTTGATTTTGGATCTTTAATATTTTTTTTTTTTTTTTTTTTTTTTTTTTTTTTTTTTTAAAAAAGCTTACTTAATAATATAATAAATATTATTAGTGTAAGCGACGGTGTTTATTTATATTAAAATATAAGAAGAAGCAGGTGTTGGGGTAAGGTGTGATGGGGTAAGGTTGAAACAACCTATCTAGTTTAAGAAGTTTTTTTTTTCTTAGATTTTTGTTCAATAGCAGGTGATTTCGGACTGCCTGATTGGTATGGAGTGTTTTTGATTGGTGTGGATATTTGGCTAACATTTCGAGTACGGTTACTTTTTGCGGTGGTATTCATATTTGTTATGGCGGTTTTATTTTTGGAAGTTGGTGAAGCTAATCTTGTAAAGATGTTGTTTAGTGCGTTAACCCTGGATGTTCTTCAGGGTTTGCTGGTTGATGATTTATTGTCATCTTGTGGTGATTGGTTTTTTGTTTGTTTGTTTGTTTCGTCATTAGATATTTCCTCGTTATCTAGTGTGTTAGTTGAATTGTTAGATTCGTTATCAGAAATAGTTTCTTTGTAATCATCATCTTGATCATTAAAGTCGACCCTATCTTTTTTGATTAATTGATTGATTATGGTAATGTTGTTATCAATTTCTTTAACAGTGGAGACCCTGGACATATCTTCATTGCTTAATTGATTGATTTTGGTAATGTTGTTATCAATTTCTTTATCAGTGGAGACCCCTAGTATATCTTCATTGATTAGTTGATTGATTTTGTTGTTAGGATGATTTTTTGATTTTGTTGCAGACTTAATCTTAATACGATAGTATGGTGATTGCAGTAGCTTTGATTTGATTGAGTTGTTTTTTCTTTCAATGAGGTGAAAAAAGGAGGTATTGTTTTTGTTGACTTTGATGTGAGAAAAGAAGAAGTCAATTTTTAGGTTAAGTTGTTCTTTTAACACTTTTTCAATGTCTTGATTGGATGAGTTGATGTTTCCAATTACCATATGGTAATCGTCACAGTGCGTGATGAACTTGTTCATCTTGTTGGTGGTATCTCTTTCATTTAGGAGATTATGTAGGTTTTCTTTTGAGAGAGAGATAAAGATAGTTTTCTTTTTCTTTTTGTCAAATGAGATCTTTTCTATATCTGTGTATTTGCTGAAATGAATTATATGTTCATCGGATATTTGGTGGTTTGGGTAATATAATCTGAGATTGATGTTGTTTCCATTTTTTTCATAGGTGGATAGTTTGTTATCTCGTTCAATGATATCTTTAACACTTTTTTGAATTATAGAGATGCTTGACAAGAGTATGTCTTCAACAGTATTGAAATTATTATGGGGAAAATCCTTATTTTTCATTTCTTTCCAATCGTTGGATAAATCTAATATGATTGGTTTTATGTTTGAAGATGGTGGTAGGAATGATGTTTGTAGTTGGATTGGCTTTTAGAAAGACAAATTGGTGAAGATTGGAGATAGTGAAGATAGAAGATTAAAAATCTTTAATACGATCTAAATTCTTTTGATCTGTGTTTTGTGGTGTATAATTAATATACATTGAAATAGCTTTTAAAAAGCTGTTGGACAGTGCTAAAATTATTTGATAAAACTTAATTTATAAAAAGTAAGAATTTATATGATGTTAACACTTGTCGGTTTTTTTTTTTTTTTTAATATTAAGTATATTATTGAATAGGTTGATATAGCTATAACCTGTAAGTTGAAGATTTTGTTGGAATTCTGTTTTGGGTGTAAAGCTGTTGAGATTGTTTATCATCACTGGGAAGAGTATTACTATCAAAAGTTATCGACAGCTGCAGGGTTCGAACCTGCGCCTCCGAGGAGATCTGATTTCAAGTCAGACGCGTTAGACCACTTCGCTAAGCTGTCTTTTTGATGATTTTTTGTTATAAATGTACTATAGTAGTAAAAGTGATTAAATATAAATATAAAGTAAACTAAATACAAAAGTAAATATTAGATATAAAAAGTAATAAATTATATTTTATTAAGTAATGAAAATAAACCTCTAAAGAAAATGATTATGAATTTAAGCT